AGAGAGAATACGGCAACTTGAAGAAGAAGAAGATGCTAGACAACTCCAAGAGGATGCAGCTGTCAAAAGAATGAAGCTTCTTCAAGAAAAGCTGCATAACTATCGACTACTTAGGCAGACAAAGAAGAGAGAACTGCAGTTAGACACAGGGAACGGTGAGAACAACATCCAGGTAGTTGAGGGAACTGACAACTCCCATACTGACACTCTGGTAGAAAGGTCAGGGACTCACTCTCTCAATGGAGAGGTGTGTACTACTATTGCGCCAAATGGTACCTCATCAAATGATGAAGTAATAGACCACCCAAGACCTTGCCTCACCTCTCTTATTCCTTATAGGAAAAGAGTGCACATCAAGAATTCTTTGACAGGAATCAGATCTACATTGCTGAACCCCTGTATTCTCCATTGCCCTGATAAGCAAAATGAGAAGCCTCCTGTCCCCACAAGGAAGCGAGGACAGAAAACAAAGAAATCTTCAAAAGGGATCAGATCCACATTGCTGAACCCCTTTACTCCCCTTAACTCAGATGAGCAAAGTGAGGAGACTCCTCCTGAGCCTAAATGGAATCATGGAAGGAGAAAGTGTACCGTGGGCACCCGTAATCGTCATACCAGTGACAGACGAACCTCAGACGCCACATCCGATTCATTTAACTTCTTATGTTCCTTAGTGAAAGAAGGGAATCGGCATGTTCCGAAAGGGAAGTGTAGGACTAAGCGGACCCCGAACACATCGAACAGCAGCCACCAACGTGATAAATGCTGGAACCGTAAACATGGCGGTTTGACTGGGACACTAGCCAATAATGAAAGTGAAGGTAGCACTTTTAGTGACTCTATGATGCCCTTCAGTAATGTTAAACAAGAAGTGGAATCATGGCAGCATGGTACAGAGAATAACAGTAAATCTGTTTCTTTCATTTCCCTTGATGCAGCCACATGCAATAGGGAGATGAGTATCAGTTCTGATTTGGCATCCCAGATGGGTGACTGTGATGGCAGCAGCACTCAACTTTATTTACTCCCTCTCTGGACTTGGCCCATAAAAGCTTGACCAGGGAGGAAATAACCGACACAGAGGATACTTCCCCTGAGGTCTTTGCAGAGTTTTCTGGGAAGGAAACTCTTGATGAGCAGGAAATTCCTGTAAGCCTTATTAACTTTGAAAATGGTCAAACAGCACTGTTTGCCATCAACACAAAAGAATGTACTTCTTTTGGGCAGGGAGAGAGCCTATCTCTTGCCTGTGCAGCTGACACCACAGGGGAACTTCAGATGAAGGACATTGTGGCTGAACAAGCCAAGAGTAAAAGGGAAACCAAACACTCTGGTCTAAGAGTACTCTTCACTTCGAAAGATGCGACAGGAGTAACTCAGCTGCCGGTAGAAGCTTCGGTCCGAAGCAATACCACCTTAGCATCTTCAGAAAACGAACCACTTCTGACTGATGTGACTGTATTTACTGAACTACTTTTGTGCTCTGATTCCGAAAGGAGCTCTATTCATGAGAAACTCACCCCGATAAATTATGAAGGGGAGGACAGAATGCACACAGGAGGGGACAAGTTGACCCCCTACCAAGAAAGAGTCAGTGGTAAACTGCGCCAACCTCATAGTACCTTGATGGACGCCATCCCTTATACCAAAAGGAAAGTGACAGATTGTACCAAGATTGATAATGGGTGGAGGAGAATAGCGGAAGATAGTTGCACTGTGACTCTTCCATACAAGCAGTCCCTACAAGCTCTACCGCTTTTGATAGGGCAGAATCTAGGTACATTGTGGGTTAAGACTTGTTATCAGGTTGGCCTTGGTATCTCAGCATCCAGACCCACGAAATCATTGATTCTAGGGGATGCAATACCTCCGGACAAACGGTCAGTACACCACTGGTGCATGCATTTTAAGCACATCTACTGGACAAGACATTGTCATAAAGACTACTGGAAATTCAGACCAGGGGAAGTCTTGGGAGCCAGAAAGTGGTAGTCTGGTATTCTTGTTCTACTTGACAGCGATCTTAGCATTCTTACAGAAAGCTTCGAAAGGGGGGCTTCTGTCGCGAGACGCCGCTTCAAGTAGACAAGATACTTTTGGCTGACGTACCACCCCTTTGTGACCCTTCTATTTTTCCCTCTTACATGCGCCCAGTGACTTCATTTTCGTCATAAGATGCATTGAGAGATATCCCGGTTATAGCCTACGGTTGCTGTTTGGGGATTTTCCATTGTCTTATTTGTAATTCCCCTGAGCTTTCACGTATAAAAATATACGGCTAGTAACTCGGCAACGTAGCGGAAAAATCCTGGCCAAACACCGGATCCCGCTGTGAGAGCAGACGGCCAGCCATTTTACTTCAGGTCAGCAAGCAGGTGTTAGAGCGGGCCGTTTTGGCAGAACTTTGTCTTTCTCGCCGCCTAAAAACCCTAGCAACATGACCATATAGTTACATCTAAATCCAGGTGAGCACAGTAACTGTTAATTAAATCGTGATTTCAGTTTTCGGGCCGCATTTCGTGTACAATATTAGAATTGTACCAGACAGAGGAAAAACCACGCTGACCCATTTCTGCACATGGACAGGAAACCATTTCTTTATGATCTATTCCTGATTCCTATTGTTCGGTATCTAGGAGGTTACTTCTGTTTGCTGTATCTAAGACTCTTAAGAAATTATCTATCTTCTATTGCTGGTAGATGAATGATCTATGGCTGGTTATCAGAGTTTGTGTAGATAATGGTAACATTTCAGTGGTAACATTTCATAGGAGACATTGTTCTTCTCATGCTCATACTTCTATAATTCATAATGTTTGCTTGTTGTAGAAGTGCTGAATTTTGTTTTCAGGTTATTGATGTATTATTCATGATGTTATTAATGTATCATTTTACTTATACACAGCAGTATTAAATGCTGTGATTTTGAGGACATGCTGTCCAAGAAAACACCCAGTGGAATATCTGGAAGACAGGAAAGGCAAGCCCTTTTATCTAGAATTCTCAATATTTATAGAGAGAATTCTATAGCATTCTGTCTGATTTTGTATTGCATTTATAACTGCATATTGCTGTTTGAGTCTGTGTAAATGAGTGGTATTACACTATCATCCTGAAGGACAGAAGATGGAAGACATTCATCTGGACTGGACAGTAGTCAGAAGTGGAAGCTATGTAAATGACAATGCTACTAGACTATTATCCCACTTCTGACAATATGAAGAGAGAGGGGAAAGTTGGGAATATATTTTATTTTGCAAAAACAGCAGGGACTATATATTTTTTGATTGTTTCCATCCCTAGCTGCTGAAAAGCCGAGGACAGATTCCTTGTGGCAGGACGAGCTTCCAAACCACTGCCAGGCTGGTTGTAGCTAATGATTGGAGTGCCCTAAGGAAGATCTTGGTGCTTGGGACAGACCCTCAACATTCCACCTCAGTCTTTGAAATGGATGATCCTCTGGGAAACTCCAGGTGGTAATTGTTGTATGTTATTTCCCACTGATCCTCTCATGACGACAGTTTCATGTTACTATCATTTTTATCTTTCATCCTACTTAGTTTGAATAATGTATTTTCAAAAGTAAATAGATGATTGAATTTTACTTTAATTTTAATAAACATTCCTATGATTGATTTAAACTCATAGTTAAAGTTTATTTCTATTTCTAGATGTATGTATGGTGTCAGTGTTGTCTACCAATATACATAGTCTAGATGGGGGCTTAATTTTATTACCAGAAAGGGAAATTGTCGGGAGGGGTAATCTGCTCTGTCTAAGTGTTTAGACATCTAAATTCCCTTATCCCTTTTCTGGGGATATTCAGGCAGCTCACCTTCTTTAGCGAGCCAATTCGAGTTTGTATCTGAGTATCCAGGGACACTGTCTGCTCTTTGCGCCAAAAGACAGTTGTCTCGGTTTCTAACAAGATAACACCACTTTAGTGAGTGTAAAAGGAACCTGTTCCACGACAAGGAATTAAAGTCCAAGTAGTCCAAAAAAAAGGTATTAATAGATATGAGGGACTATATACCCACCGGACGGGTCTATATTTGAAATGTGACCTGTCCGCTAGGGGCGTTAACGTCACGAATAGTCAAAGGTGACGGGGTGGGCTTGATCACTTTAAGACATCCGTGAACTGTCTGACTGTTCAATGGCCGAATGCTATCGACATTTGAATGGACGGTCGGATGCCCCGGATGACGAAGCTAGAGCTCTTGTTTTGCTCACATTAACATTTTGATGACGAACAAACATGACGTCATGTTGCACCTCTGGGTATGAATTAACATTTTGCTGACGTGCAGACAGAACGTAATGTCCCTCGCGTGACCGCATGTTTCACGTCTGGGTATGAATTAACATTTTTATGAGGAACAAATATGACGTCACGTTTCACATCTGGGTGCAAATTAACATTTTGATGACGAACAAAGATGACGTCATGTTTCGCGTCTAGGTGTGAATTAACATTTTGATGACGAACAAACATGACTGCATGTTTCACGTCTGGATGTGAATTAACATTTTTATGACGAACAAAGATGACGTCACCTTTCAAATCTGGGTGCGAATTAACATTTTGATGACGTACAAACATGACGTCATGTTTCACGTCTGGGTGCGAGTTAACATTTTGATGACGTACAAACATGACATCATGTTCCACGTCTGTGTGCGAATTAACATTTTGATGACGTACAAACATGACGTCATGTTCCACGTCTGTGTGCGAATTAACATTTTGATGACGTACAAACATGACGTCATGTTCCACGTCTGAGTGCAAATTGACATTTTGATGACGTACAAACATGACGTCATGTTTCACGTCTCAGTGCTAGTTAACATTTTGATGACGTACAAACATGACGTCATGTTTCACGTCTGGGTGCGAATTAACATTTTGATGACGAACAAAGATGACGTCATGTTTCACGTCTCGGTGCTAGTTAACATGACGTGCATAAAGAACGCAATGTCCCTCGCGTGACATCATGTTTCTCTCTCCTCTGATTGCAGGTGGCGTCTTCATCAGCAAAGTTGTCCACAAAGCTGTCATTGACATCACAGAGACAGGAACCGTGGCTGCTGCTGCTACCACTGCTGTCATACTGTCACGGCATGTTATGATGCGGCCTCCAAAAGAGACCTTCTACGTGAACCGACCGTTCATATACTTTGTCTACGACAGCCAGCTGAAGCTGATCCTCTTCCAAGGAAAATTTACTGGATAAAGTAAGAGTACCCTCACCAAGCCATTTGTCACCATTCTTCTCCCGAGAGGCATACCTTCATGCGTACAGACTGACATCATTAAACACAGAATACTTCTAAACAATTACATTGGCGCTTCAATTCGGAGAAAATGTCTGCTTGCAATTCGTCGAAATGTGTACTGGCAAATGGTCGAAAATGTGTACTGGGAAATGGTCAAAAGTGTGTACTGGAAAATGGTCGAATCTATGTACTGGCAAATGGTCGAATATGTGTACTAGAAAATGGTCGAATATGTGTACTAGAAAATGGTCGAATATATGTCCTGGCAAATCGTCAGAAAGGGTAACTGGCAAATGGTCGAATATATGTACTGGCAAATGGTCGAATATATGTACTGGCAAATGGTCGAATATATGTACTGGCAAATCGTCAGAAAGGGTACCTTGCAAATGGTCGAATGTGTGTACTGGCAAATGGTCGAATATGTGTACTGGCAAATGGTCGAATATGTATACTGGCAAATGGTCCAAAATGTGTACTGGCAAATGATAGAACATTTATAATGGCAAATTGTCAAAAATGTGTACTGGCAAATGGTTGAATATACGTACTGGCAAATAACGAAAAATGTGTACTCATACGTTAAACAAATTTGCTTAAGATATTTCCTTTACTGATCAAAAAATGATCGGAATGTCCCGTGTTCAGTTCCACATATTATGGTCACACTAATGCACTGCAAATAATGGCAGCAGTGTGCTTGGAGCTATGAATTATGTTGATAAAATATCAACACTTGATTATCTCTGTGCCGGATTTTGGCGGGGACTGCTCACTATATCGAAGAGGTAGCTGGGGAAGCTTGAATACATACAGTATGACGCAAGGTGAGTGATTCTAGGTGTTGTGTGCCAAATTGAGTCATCACACTACCAAGTGTCTAGCAGGTACTCTTCAGCTTCCTTTCTTAACAAGACAACTCGACGACGATGACACCGTCATACAAGTTTATTTAACAGGATACATGACACAAATGCAGAGACGTAGTTATTGATCACAGCTGACATTCGCACATCGTTCATTTGTCCTCACAGCTCTCTATCTCTCAATGTGTAGTGACCTCTCCTGGACTACTGCAGATACCAGGATGACGGCGTCCCACTCTCTGGACGCGTCGTACAGCTGAACAGGACGACTTCTCCCATTCACTGGACCTTGATATTAATTCAGCATACAACACGGCTGACTGGAGACGGACCTCTCTTGCCGTACTCCGAAACCAGGCACTACTGGTCTTCCCGTCCCCTGGACTTACTCTGCCAGCGGGACCATATTCTCCATACCGCAATCCCGACACTTACTCAGACCTAAATGCCCGATAGTCGTACGGTATGTTTGTCTGTATACTCGAGAGATTACCTGGACCCTGACTTGGTCTCTGACTCTCGTTTTCTCTCTCTTCTCTCTTCTCGCTCTATCTTGACTACTGCCCCCCCCCCCGAGGGGCTTTTAGCCCTCAGGCTACAGCTCACTCTCTGGACTGTCTACGCAGCCCAATTTATATATGTCGAATCCGTGTAGGTGGATGGTGATTACACGAGAGGCACGCTTGTGTGGGCGTTCTCGTGAATCATGATCCTGTGGGTGTTCTCGGGACTCGCTCATGTGAGCGTTCCCGAGGATCACGCTTATGTGGGTGGCTGATGTTACCCGAGAATCACGCTGTCACTTAATTCACACTTTATCTCGTTATCCACGCTTTCAGCCCACCACACAGAATCCTACTCGTCCACTTTCTCTCGTGCAAGCACGCCTTGTTCATGAATAGACGTTTTCACTGGTCTCCTCTTAATACTCGGATCATATTGACATTCTTTCCTCGTGAACTTACAGGAAGTACAGGCATACCATTGTCCCTTCCCACAATATCACACTTAACCCAAATCAGCGCGCAACAACAAGCTGACATACATTTACTCTCGACAGAGATGTGAGGTATGGACAATGAGCAGACAAGCTGACATACATTTACTCTCGACAGAGATGTGAGGTATGGCCTATGAGCAGACAAGCTGACCTACATTTACTCGGGGCAGAGATGTGAGGTATGAACCATGAGCAGACAAGCTGACCTACATTTACTCGCGGCAGAGATGTGAGGTATGGCCTATGAGCAGACAAGCTGACCTACATTTACTCGCGGCAGAGATGTGAGGTATGGACAATGAGCAGACAAGCTGACCTACATTTACTCGCGGCAGAGATGTGAGGTATGAACAATGAGCAGACAAGCTGACCTACATTTACTCGCGGCAGAGATGTGAGGTATGGACAATGAGCAGACAAGCTGACCTACATTTACTCGCGGCAGAGAAGTGAGGTATGAACCATGAGCAGACAAGCTGACCTACATTTACTCGCGGCAGAGATGTGAGGTATGAACCATGAGCAGACAAGCTGGCCTACATTTACTCGGGGCAGAGATGTGAGGTATGAACCATGAGCAGACAAGATGACCTACATTTACTCGGGGCAGAGATATGAGGTATGGACAATGAGCAGACAAGCTGACCTACATTTACTCGCGGCAAAGATGTGAGGTATGAACCATGAGCAGACAAGCTGACCTACATTTACTCGCGACAGAGATGTGAGGTATGGACCATGAGCAGACAAGCTGACCTACATTTACTCGCGGCAGAGATATGGTTTCTGAGAAGAATACAAAGAATATCATGGAAGGATAGAAGAGCAAACGGAGCAGCCATCTTGGAGGCAGATGAGAGTTGTCAACTTATTAGAATGATTACACGTTGACAGTCAATGTTGTTTGGACAGGTTATGAGAAAGAACAGACTCGAGAACTCGGTGACAACCGGCAAGATTGATTGGAAGATAGCAAGAGGAAGAAAAAGACACATGGCCTGGATGTGGCGAGACAAAAACATTGAACTGATCTGGGATTCTGGTGATCGTGTGAAATGGTGAAACATGTCAGTCTGGGCTTACTGGCACGGCACATGACGATGATTATGATCATTTCTTTTACTTTCATTTCCTACACGTTATTGTGGTCTAATTCTGTCACGGCCTTGAACCTTTAACTCTGACATTGTACTAAATGTCCCGACAGTAAATCGGATGACACCCTAAACCAGATAAACACTTCAGGCGTTAGATATATCTCCACGAATGGTTGCTTCCCTGAGCCGGTGCCTGATCATACATAAAGGCACCACGGGGAAGAGAATCCAACCTTGGGGCTGTGAGAAACTATTTCCTCTAATGGTAATTCTCCCGCTGGGACTATTCACCACCACATATACATCCGCCATAAACAAAGAGCAGCATCGTAGAAAAATGTTTATAGAAACTTTAAATCTACAGAGACCAGCTGTGAAATTTATGCAACAATTTTTATAGCTGCGTTATTCAAAAACGAACAAGTAGTGTGGATAGTATAAGTATTATTATCTTGTCTTTTTTTTTTTTTTTTTTTTTGTCAAATCAATTAATCGTCTTCCTCTCCTAAAGTACACTTCAAGAAAAACATGAATATTTTCTAACCAGTATTAGGTAGGACATGGTCGCCTTTTAACAGGGCCCGCAATTTCTAAACTGTATTAGGTAGGACAAACGTCAGCATTAGAGACAAAGTCGGAACAAGAGCATGCATGGAACATATTGAAAGACAGAAAATGAAGTGGTTTGGTCATTTAGTAAGAATGCAACCGGATCAGATTGCCTATAAGACCTTTTACAATAGAACATCGGGAAGAAAGGCCAAAGGAAGACCCAGGAAAAAATGGATAGATGGAGTAGCTGAATACGGCCAGAAGATCCAGAAAACTGTCACTCAAATCACGCGAGAGGCACAAAACAAATATTTTAAACCACGACACTGGGCTGCAACCCGGTAAAAGTGAAGAAGACAATAGATAGATAGATGGATTAGGTAGGAGATGGTCGCCTTTTAACAGGGCCGCAGTTTCTAACCTATATTAGGTAGGACATGTTGGCCTGCTAACACGGCCTACAATTTCTAACCTAAATTAGGTAGGACATGTTCACCTGCTAACAGACCCTACAATTTCAAAACCTATATTAGGTGGGACATGTTCGCCAGCTAACAGAGCCCGCAATTTCTAACTTATATTACGTAGCACATGTTTGCCGGCTATCACGGCCTACAATTTCTAAACTATATTAGGTAGGACATGTTTGCCTGCTATCACGGCCTGCAATTTCTAACTTATATTAGGTAGGACATTTTTGCCTGCTATCACGGCCTGCAATTTCTAACTTATATTAGGTAGGACATGTTTGCCTGCTATCACGGCCTACAATTTCTAACTTATATTAGGTAGGACATGTTTGCTTGCTATCACGGCCTACAATTTCTAACTTATATTAGGTAGGACATGTTTGCCTGCTATCACGGCCTACAATTTCTAACTTATATTAGGTAGGACATGCTTGCCTGCTAACAAGGCCTGGAAGGAAACACAGAGCAAAACTTCGTTAAATCTTTGCCTGTCAGATGTGACTATAAACGTTTGACTGGCACTGGATTCGTCATCTGGTAACATTCAGACAGCCATGAACAATCGAACTGACTTGTCGGTTGAAGGTGCCAACTCATCCAGAGGTGAAAGCCAACATAGGGAAGATGGAAGAGAATAACGTGCACCCTCTTTGATTTCTGGGAGTCGCCGTGGCCTTGGCCACTAGATGCCCGCCAGGGGATCGAAAAGTTGTGGGTTCGCGTCCTGACAGAGCCGAACTGTTTTCAAAACTCGATGTTTCTAACTTCTTTTACCCCACCAGGACATCACACAAGCGATAAACACCCGATGACACAAAGTGCCACCATGTGGATGAGGATCACCCTGGAGAGGTCCCGGTAACCGCGTTCAGCCATAAGACCATATTTATGGCCGCGCTATATTGCGGCCCCTGGCACGAGCCAGAGTAGGGCTTCAAATAAACAAAAAATTGCATCCTACAAAGGGAATGC